AGAGAGAGAGAGAGAGAGAGAGAATTTTAACATTTATTTATTTTTTCTTAGTTCTCGGCTGACACAGCATCTTCGTTTGTATGTGGTGCTGAGGATCGAACCCCGGGCCGCACGCATGCTAGACGAGCGCGCTACCGCTTGAGCCACATCCCCAGCCCCACTGTTAAGTTTTTTAAGGTTAATTACTTGTTGGTTATGAAAATGTCAAACATACACAAAACCAGAATGGTGTCGTGACTCACCTGTCCCCATCACCCTATGCCCACAATCATCCAGCCCTGTTACATCCCCGTCCACCCCTAAACACACTAACCAGATGTGTCTTATCATGTAACTCATAAACGCCTGGTTGATGGGTCGCTAAGAGACAAGAACTCCAACCACATTCCCCGGGGTCGGCCACTGGAAGGCAGCGGTGCCCTTTAACCTGGCTGAACACCAGCTGCTGTCATGACCCGATCTGCAGTTGGGATGCGAGTCCTGGAGGCTGAGACACTGCTGGGGGGCCTAATCCAGCCATGGTAGTGCGAGGACAGAGGTCACCCCAACTGCAGCCCTGTTGCTACAGAGGACATTGTGCAAGTCTGGAACCCAAGATGCTGACTCAGGTGGCCACACCCCCGTGGTGGCCCCTGAAAACACTAGTGTCTGGGGACTACAGGATTCAGGCACACTCCCGCCAGGGCAGGTCTAGGTGAAGACTAATTGCATCAGAATCTCTGTAGAAGAACCTGAGCATGTTCCTGCCCAGCATTCCACTGTCCCGTCAGGGCACAGCCACAGCTGGCCTGGCTGCACTGCCGCTCTCGCCTCTGGCTGGCTGTGTGGCCCACAGTTCTCTAACCCCAGACTCCTCCTCGCTTGAGATTACACGGGGTGACCCCAATCTGCCGTGCACCTGTAGTCCCCCCAGGAATGGTTTTCCTGCCAGCCCAGCTCTCGCGTCCACGAAGACCGAGGCCAGAGGCCAGCTCCTGAAGTCCTCTCTCCCCCTCTTGGCACAGGGACATTGATCAACTGTGTTGGGGCTCGGGTGTGGCTGGAGGTGCCTCAGAAAGCAGCTCATCTTAAAAACAAGGGGCTGATCAAGGAGGGACTTGCTCAGTGCCTCGGAGCAGGTCGCAGTGCAGCTGTGGTGGCCTGGGAGCTTCCTGCTGCCCGAGCGCAGACTTGGTGCTGCCAGCCTGCCCCCTTTCCTCCCGAGCGTGGTCTCCCTCCCTGGGAGAAGCAGTGCCCACCTCCCAGGCTGGCTCTGAGAATCAAGAGGCTGCTGGGCTCCACAGGCTTGAGGGGTGTCCCCTTGGGGTGGGGTTCCCTGTTGCCTCCACGGAGGCGGCAAAGGAGCAGGGGCTCCCTGGGGCAGGCGTCTGCCTCGGGTGTCAGGAGACATCCACCAGGTGGCCCTCATCCTCAGCACTCAGCCTGGCGGGGAGGCTGGACGCCAGCCCGGGAGACGCCCAGGACTGGAAGCCACAGCTGCCTGCAGGCCGCAGAGGCCCCTGGTGGGCCAGTGGGGAAGAGGGAGGCCATGACCTGGGCACACCTGCAGGAGGCCACGGCTCGGGGCCAGAGGGGGCTCCAGCACCCACCGACGGGTCCCTCACAGCTCCCTGCACCTCATCCAGCACCCCCCAGGCTGCTGTGCGGCTCAGGGGAAGGGGGGCGGTGCCTCCATGTCCCCCGGGGGCCTCTCTGGGCACTGACTCTGTTTGACAGGGACTGTGAGGAGCATTCGATTGTTTCAAGTAAATACCCCAGGAGCGTGGACACCGGTCCATTTATGCAGGGAAATGGCTCTGAGAGGTGAGGGCTTCCCTGGTCACATCCATGCCAGTCGCAGAGAGGGGACTCAAAGCCCAGTAGGCCTGAATTCAGAGCCCAGACGTGTCCTCTGCTCTGGAGCCTCTCAGGGTCCCGTGTCGGGGGAGCACAGGTAACAGGGAGCACAGGGCAGGGGATGACTCGGATCAGCTCGGGGCTGTGAGAGCCGCCACCCCAGGCCAAGGAAGGCACAGCCGCGGGACGCACCCGCTGCAGGGAGGCCTGGGTCAGCTCATTCATCCTGAGGCTACATTATAGAGACAGTGAGGGAGGCGGGAGTCAACTTGGGTCCAGTGCTGGTCCTACCATCCTGGCGCTGCTGGACCCCTTGTTCTTAGAGGGACGTGGACAAACCAGGACTGAGGGGCTGCAGGGGTGAGGGGCTGCAGGGGTGAGGGGTTGGGGCTGACTGAGCAGCATCCCAGGTCAGGGATGTCCCTGAAGAGTGGTCACAAGGCACAGCTGCTTGCCATGCAAAGCAGCCTTGGAGTGACCAAGGGACCTGCCACAGAGTCCCCAGATGAGGGGGGCAGGCAGGGCATGTGACAGAATACAGAGCGGGGATCCGTGTCCCAATACAGGACAGGAACCGGAAAAGCACTACAAGCTGTGGAGTGTGGGCCCTGGGGGGCGTGGAAATGGCCTGTGCGGTTGTCAAGCTGCAGGCACACGACCTCGGCCGAGCCTCGGGTGACAGAATCCCAGGGAGGTCTGAGAGCAGAGGGTCAGTGCAAGGGCAGCATTCCCCTCTGAGAGCATGCTGCTGGGCATAGGGGTGGACAGGGGGGAGGGTGTGCCCTCCCATAGGCCCTGGGTAAACTCACTCTGGG